CAGGGCCAGCCTGCCACTCGGGCTCTGGCGGCCTGGCCTCCCCTCGCGCTATGGACGGGCGTGTGAGCTGTCGGCTTTGGGCGCTGGTGCACCAGTTTGGCCAGCTCCTCCGCATCTTAGTTTGCTGAGGCTGGAGAGAGACACTGGCCTGTGGCCAGTGGCCTAGGGAGTGGACAGCTGCCCATGGCCTGGCCTGAGAACACTGGAGGCCAGCTGTGGCTGCCTCTGCTGAGAGCGGGGCGTGTGTGGAGTCTGGCTGGAATGACTAAGGGTGTTACTCTTGGGATCGCGGGCCCGGCACACCTTCAACTTGGCTACTCCTTACCAAGCCTGCTGCTGACTCGGGGGTGTTGCATGCTGGCTGTCTCAGCTTCTCAGGAGGCTGGTTTCCCAGGGAGGGGGTGTCAGGGAGGAATCTGTCACCCTCTTGGAAGTTCTAAGTTTCTCAGGCCTGAGGTCTTATCCGGAGGGAGCTCCGATCAGCCATTGTCAGTGTGCTGTGCTGCACGCAGCAGCGGCCAGCAGCTGATCCCAGGTCAACGGAGCAGGATCTGCTGGGCTCGCTGGGGGGCCTCTGCCTGGCCTGGATCCCACCCCTCAGCTTTGCTGCGCACCGCCCATCTCTGGGAGCCGGGAAGAACACTCCCTGGTCCTCTGTCTCAGGCCAGTGCCCTGCTCTGTGTGGTTTGTGTAGGCGTGAGACACCGCCCAAGAGCCAGGGCTTCCAGAGAGCGCCGCCTGCCCGGAGTAAGTCCTGGCTCCCTGCCAACCGGCCGCGTGGCACCGGGCAGGTGAGCGGCCTCGGTTTCAGTTTCTTCATCTGTGAAATGGGGACAGTGAGAGCTCCTGTGTTTTGGGCTGTGAAGCATTCATACGTGGTGAGAGCTTGGAAAAGTGCCTGGCCACGTAAATGCTCCACAAGTGTTACATTACACAGCATAGTCAGTGTCATGTCAGTATCACTGCTGCCCTGACCCCTCACCTGTGGACCCCGAGTATCCTAAGGTTAGAGACCCCTCCTCGGTGCTGGGTGTTGCTGGGAACACACGGTAGGCACACATTACGGTTGTAGGGTAAACGAGTACATAGGCACATTCCACAGACATGTGTGCTTGTCGGTGTTGGGCCCCAGGAACAAAGAGGGGTCCCTCACAGTCCTGTGGGGTACAGGTCCAGAAAACAGACATCCATCCTACTCGTGAGAGAGAATTGCCCGCTGGGCTTGGGGATAATGGTCAGAGAAGGCCCGAGGAGGGACAGGTGCCAGCCTGGGAGAGCTGGGGGGATGGGGGGTGGAGGATGGTGGAGGACAGCGTCCCAGATGGCCAGGTCGGCCTGGCCCTGGGGGTGGTTTGGCCTGTACTCGAGGCTCGGAGGGCAGCTATTGGAGCGCTGGGAAGGAGTGGTTTGGGGGTGAGCCATGAGCCGGTTTAAACTCTGTGGATTGAGAGGTGTCTGTCATGGAAGCAGCTGGATGGTGAGGAGGTGGCGAGTGGCCCCGGGGAGAGAGTGAGGAGCGGCTGGACTCACCGAGCAGCCGGAACGGAAAGCTGTGCCTGTCTGGGGCCCCCCAGCGAGGGCAGAGAGCAGAGGGAGGCCTGGCTCTGAGCCTCGGGGCGCCCGCATGTTTGGCAGTGGGGAGAGCTGTGGAGCGTCCTTTCAGTGTCCCTGTGAGTTCTCAGGTGCCCTCCTCAAGCCCAGACCTCTTCCTGGCAAAAACAGCAGTTTCTGTTTCTTGATGGCACAGAGCCCAGTGGTGTAGCCACGTTATGTCCTCGAATCCTTCCCACGTTACTATTGAAGAAGCCGAGATGCGGGAGGGACAGCCAGCGGGAGGCCCCGGCCTCTCAGCCTTGGTCTCGTCTCACCCCCTGCCACCTCCCACTGGTGTCCCTGAGGCCGCGGCCGCCCTCCCCTCCAGGACACGTTGCCTTAGCCGAGCTCCTCCTCCCAGTGTGCATCTTCGCTGCCCTGGGTCCATTCAGAAAAGTTATCCGAGACAGTTAGAAACATCCACAGAAGCAGCAAGGGTGGGGTGACGGGCCCCTCGTGGCCCCCCGGCTCCAGTGGTTCTCCCGTAGGCCAAGCGTGGTCCTCTCTGGGCCCCCACCCCCTGTCATTTTGGAGCAAATCCCAGACATCATCATTTCATGTGTCAGTATTTGAGAATGTCTCTCTAGAAGATAAGGACTTCTTTTTAATAAGATGATGATGATAATACCAGTATCACACCTAGCAATTCTTAATTCCTTAAAATCCACTTAGTGCTTAAAGTTCTGCTGCTGCGTCAGGATCTGGATAAGAGCCACACGTTGTGGTTCATGGGTTTGTCTCTTCAATCCCTTTTAGTCTGTACATTCTCCTACCTTTTCTTTTTTTTTTTGCAATTTATTTGTTGAAGAACCTGGGTCATTTGTCCTGTAGAGTGTGCTTTGTGCTGGCTTTTTGCTGCTTGTTCCTGTGGTGTTCGTTACTTAGCACAGGCCTCTGATTTGTGTGCTCCCTGTCAGTTTGAACTTGAATCTGGAGGTGAGATCCTCGGGAAGGCGGCACGTCGGTGTCGTCTGGCGGTCTGTGTGTGTGGCGTTGGCGGCAGTTGACAGGCCTAGGTGACTGCGCGTCAGGAGTCCCAGACCCGTGGTGCTCTCGCTCCTCATCACGTGTTCACTGGAACGCGTGTTTACCTCTTGGCGTCTGGGTGTTTGCCCCATGGAAAGGCAGGAGAGATGCTTGGTTTTTCTTGCCCCCCACTTATTTGCCAGTTTCAAACCCTGCTCCCGGTCGAGACACCCTGCCCGCTTCCTGGAACATTTAGGGCTTAATGTGGGGGCGTCTTCCTCTTCCTTCACAAGAAGCGGGAGGAGCTGGCTGATGGCCACGTGCCGGGCTGCCTACCTGAGATGCGCGCCGCCTTCCTCCTCGCTTGTCCCGCGCTGGTGCTGCCCTCAGGCGTCGCGTCTCAGGTCCCACAGGGAGAAGAGGGGCGCCGAGACTCCCTCCGTGCACGTTTGTTTGTTTTTCATTTGGGAAGGAAAGCCCTCCCCAGGCTGGCCCCCCTTATATCTCATCACCCCCCACTAAGTCACACCTCCACCTTGCAGAAGAGGAACCATATGCAAGTCTGGTTTAGATGGCTGGGGCAGAAACCCACTCTTCCTGACACCAGGGGCTGCGGGGCAGGGGCCAAGATCGGTGTCCCCTCACCAGCTGGTTCTGGCTCGAGAAGGCCTGTTTACTGGTCTGCTCGCCACCAGACTCGTGGCTCCCGGAGGGCAGGGTCTGCGACTCTTTCATGTGACAGGCGCACCTTCCACCTTTGTAGCCTGAATTGGTGTGCGTGTTGGCAGGGCACAGAGTCATTCACATGCGACTGCAGGACCCCACTCCAGTCCCCTTTGTTCCCACTCGCAGGCGTCGCCCATTCGCCAGAGCTTGAAAAGCCTGACGTCCCCGCTTGCTGGGGTGGTGGAGGGGGTGGCGAGGCAGCTCGAGCCCCTGGCCGTGGCTGGAAGGGGCGGAAAGCAGGTCTGGCCCCTGTCCCCGCTCCCTGTCTCTCCCAGGACTGCAAACCCGCTGGTCTGGGCTGCGGGAGGGCAGGGGAATGCCCGTGTGAGGGGCTGGCTGCTCTGCTCTCCCTCTTACCCTGACCACCCTGTCGTGAGGTCTTCGTTGAACCTTCACCAGCCCCCTACACTCGTCGTTTTTTCTCCCCCATTGGAGAGAGCATTTTAAAAAATTGGGGTGTAATTCACATACCAGAAAATTCACCCTTTTCGAGCATACGTATCTGGTGGTTTTTAGTGCATTCACAGTATTGTGCAGTCAGTCACAGCTGTCTGATTCCAGAAAACCTTCATCACCCCAGAAAGAAACCGCGTCCTCATTAGCAGTTTCCCCGTCTCCCTCCCCAGCCCCTGGCAACCACGAATCCACTTTCTGTCTCTGTGGATCTGCCTGTTCTGGACATTTCACATCAATGGGATCACACACCGTGTGTCTGCTTCTCTCCCTGAGCATCGTGGTTTCCAGGTCCGTCCACGTGCGCCTGTGTCAGGGCCTCGCTCCTTTTCATGGCCCAGTAGTATTCCATTGTTCGCACGGACCACACTGTTTATCCGCTCCTCTGTTGATGGGCACGCAGGGCGTTTCCGCTTTTTGGCTATTGTGAATAGTCTTCTGTGGATGTAGGTGTGCACGTTTTGCTGTCAGCGCGTGCTTTCGTTTCTCTTGGGTCTCTATCTAGGAGAGAGAAATGGGTCACACAGTTACTCTGTATTTAACATTGTGAGGAACTCCCAGGCAGTGTTCCAGAGCGCCTGCACCATTTTGTATGCCCACTAGCAACGCGCAAGGGTTACGATCTCCCCACATCCTCACCAACACTTGTCCTTTTCCGTTTTTTTAGTGTTGCCATCCTAGTGGGTGTGAGGTCGTATCTTGTGGTTTTGATTTGCATTTCCCTAAAGATTAGTGATGCTGAGTATCTTTTTCTGTGCTCATTGTCCATTTGAACGTATCTTTGGAGAAATTTCCCTTCCAGGGTAGGAGCAGGGGTTGAGGCCCTAGGATCAAGGGCCTCAGAGCCTGGGGCCCGGTCTCAGCACTGTCACTTATCAGCTGTGTGTCTTCGAGCCTCAGTTTCTCCGTCTGTTGGCTGGCGCTGTGAGGGTTGAAGGGGGGCTGTTTGCGCGGGGCGGTATGCGCCCTCAGCAGGAGTATTTCCATCAGGTGTCCGAGAACAACCTTCTTAATGATCTTTGTGTCTTTTCTTCTCTCGTGGAGCCTGCTTTGCTGGGTCCTCTGCGAGCAGTAAGTTAATTTATTTTGGATAACGGAATAGATGCAGTGGAGGCGAGAGAGATGGAGGCCAAGCCAACAAGAAGAAGGGCAGGGGCTGGCAGTGGGAGCGCGGCCGCCTCTGTCCCGTGGCTGTTGTCCCGTGGCTGTCCCTGCAGCCCGCCCGCCCTCTGAAACGGACTTCCTTGTTTTCTTTGTTTAAGGAGGAGCCGAGGAAGGTTTGCTTCACCTATGACCTGTTCCTCAACCTGGAGGGCAACCCGCCTGTCAACCACCTGCGCTGCGAGAAGCTCACCTTCAACAACCCCACGGTTGAGTTCCGGTACAAGCTCCTGCTGGCAGGCGGGGTGAGTGCGCCCCTTGGGCAGGCCCCACCCCTGCTCACCGGCCGCTCCGTCGAGGCTCCATGGGCTTCCTGTGCTGGGCGGCCTGGGGCTGTCTCGGGCACGTCTCTCCAGCGTGTGGTTGGGCGCCTAGGACCTGGATTGGCAGGTTGCACAGGTAGCAGCCGGCAGCACTGGGTAGGACCCAGGTGTCCTGAGTCTGTGCTGGGGCGTTGTCAGCGGTGAATGACTAACTAGTAGCTAGTTATCCCCTCAGCTTCCTGGTTAGCTCTAGTTAATTAGCATCTTCCTCCATGGCGCGGTGGGCAGGGGAAGGGAGGGGTGTGAGGCCAGGCCGTCAGCGTGGCGAGGCGCTGGAGCAGCCCTCAGCCAGGTTGGCAAGGTGGTGCTGGGGCCACGTCATCTGCGGAGGCAGCGTGGCTCTCCACGGGATTCCCCAATGATGCACGCTGCCCGGCAGTTTTGTGAGGCCTTGTGAGGCCGGGCGAAAGCGTCAGCTCTCAGAACCTGGGTCTCTCTAATGAGTTGTGTGGCCAGCAATCCGGGTGTGGTGGCGGATCCCTGGGAGCATGTCTCGAGGCCCTTGGAGAACAGGGGTGGGGATGGTCGGTGTGGTTGGACGGTTGGTTGTGAAGGAGGAGGGGCGCTTGGCTGCACGTTGGACCGTGTGTGCCGAGGGAGCTGCCGGCTGAGGACATGGGACATCCCAGAGCCATCTTTAGTGAGCCAGAGTCACTGAGCAGTTGCCTAGGTGCCAGCTGGTGTCTGTGGTGGCATCGGGCCAGGGTCACGAGAATGAGTGAGTGTGCGCGTGTGTGCGTGTGCGTGCATGTGTGCACATTATGGGGGCAGGCCCACCTCCCCAGTAAGTACGGGCAGTTTGGGTTGAGTTTCTTTGGGCCCGTGGAGCAGGCCTTTCCTCTTCATTTAATTCACTTGGGTCTTCTATGAACTTTTGAAAAAAAAAAGAAAAAAAAAAGCATTTGTTCATTGCAGACACTGACCGAGCTCTGCCGTGTTGCTAGTAAAGGCTGGCCTGCGATTCTGCCCTCGCGAGTGGCGGCCGGTGGAGCCGGGCGGCAGAGCGGGAGGTGCTGGATGCACTTACGTAGACGTCTGTGTGGACGTGTGCCCCGAGTCCATGGGGACCGGGCCGTGGGGAGGGCTTGCCCGCTCTCACTGTCTTCCCAGCTCTGCTCCTCCACCTCATGTTCCTTGCCAAGTATTTCCACGGTATTTCTCCGAGTCTTCCTGGGTGTCCCCATAAGGATTCCGTGGCCACGTTTCTTTAGGAGGCAGACACACAGATAGCTTGCCAGGGGCCTCCCAGAGCTCCAGGGCCAGGGGACCGTCCCCCTCCGTTCCCCACGCAAGGAGGTTGCCTTTGCTCTGAAGAGATGAAGGCTCGCTGAGCATCATCTAAACAAATAAAACCGAGGGGCGGGGGAGGAGGAGGAGGCACGAGGCAGCCCAGGCGGAGGTTGGGAGGACAGGTCGGCTCGCAGTTTGGGCAGGGCCGGCCCCGGAGGGAGGAAGGAGAGCCAGGCCCGCAGGCTGCGCAGTGGTCTCTGCCGGGTGACTTCCACCCCCGTGAGGGCGGCCCAGGGAGCAGGCTGCATGCTCACAGCCTTCTCGCCCTCGGGGCTTCAGGCCCTGCAGGCTGGCCCTGGGCTTCGGAGCTGCCCGAGACCTTTACGGGACGGTGGCTCCTGAGACCCGAGTTGTGATCCTTGTGTTAGCCGTCCTGGAGCTCTGAGTGTCCCCAGGGGGGCTGGCAGTGGCCTTCCAGTGCAGATGACCCCCAACCCTGCCCACGTTGATGTCGGTGCAAGAAGAGCTGGAGAGACAGAGCGAGCCGTAAGTCCATGAGAACTGCTTTCTGTCCCGCGCCCTTCGCCAGCGGGTCACTTGGAGTTCCGTGACTCCTAGCGTGAGGTTCAGACCCTTTCACAGCAGGGACCAGAGGGGCTTTTCCGCTTTTCTGTGTGGTCAGACGCCAGCCCGGGGCAGGTGACTGCTGGTCCCCTCGGCGTTGTGTCTCCTCCTTTGCCCCGGTGGCAGTTGAACTGCATCGAACAGAGGCTCCTTCAGCGGCGGAGGGTCTGTGTTCCCCTCAGGTGCCACGTGAGTCCCCGGGGCAGAGGTGGCAGCAGATCCTTTGACTCACTTGACCTTTTGCTCGGTGGGCTGTGAGAGAGACCAGAAGAGCGTCGACGGCGCTGTCGTGGAGCAGCGTCCGTCTAGGGCGTGAGTCTGAAGGGAGGGCAGAGAGATTAAGCCCCAGTGGAAGGAGGAGGTCTGGAGCCAGCGCGCTAAGGCCTCATCCCGTCTGCCTCCCGGCTGGGCTGCCGGTAACCCCGCGTGGCCCTGCCGGCCTCGGAGCCTGGCGGGTTTCCTGAGAACGAGTGATCGCGGGCGCGGGCAGGCTCTGGGGGCCGCCCTGAGGAGGGTTGTGGTCAGACAGGCTCCGATGAGCATCTCAGCCTCGGGCTTCACCGCCTCCGAGTCAGGAGCGGGGCACCGGTGCACGAACGGCTCCACTGCCTTCCTGTCACCCGGTGTCCCTGGGCCCGTGACCGCGTGTCCCGTCAGCTGCCTCAGATGAAAGCTTGGCTCATCAAGGAATCCCAGGTGCTCAGTTATTAATGGTGCTTGTTCCACCACGCTAAACGCTTTCTTCTTTTCTTCTTTCCGCGTGTGCTTTATTCCTTTGTTGTGTGTCATCGCCGCCTGGAAGGCTGCCTCTGGGTGCCTGACCGCGTGGTGTTCACTTGCAGTGTCGGTATTTCGAGAACTTGCCCCTGCGCCTTCTCTGCCTCTGCAGGTGCCACAGGAGGCTTGCTGGAGCTGGGCAGGTGTTCCCCGGAGCATCTGCCTGCTGGCAGGACCCCTCCCTCCTCCATCGTCTGCTAACAAAGAGCAGAGCTTGCGGGCGCCCCCCAAGGCCCGTGCAGCAGGCCTTTGCAGAGAGCGGCGCCCACCGCCTCGGCCTCGCTGCCTGCTCCCTGTTTCCGTCAGCTTCAGCTGCCTGAGAGTGAGGGGGCTCATCCCCCGGCCATGTGGGACCCGGCAAAGTCACACACGCGTCCGTCCATCACAAGTTGCTCGCTCCGCCATGCGGCTGCCCGGTGTGGGTGTCTTGGCTGTCTTCTTGCCTTCATGCTTCTGATCTTTCCTAACTGCAGCGTGCAGGTCAGCTTTGGCCAGGGCTGCCTTCTCGTCCTCCTCGGCACACCCTGCGAGCCTTCTTGGCCCGGCCCTCCCGGCCGCCGCCATGCCTGGGGCTCTCCTGCCCGAAGCCTCACGGCAGCACCGGGGCCCAGCCATCCTGGGCCCTGGCTTCTCTTCGCTCTGCACCGCTGAGCCTGCTCTGCTCCCAGCGCTCGGCACCCAGCGCCTCGCGGAGGACCTGCCTTTGATTCTTTTGGGAAAGTGAGGCTCAAGCCCTCCCTCGCCCGCTGCCCCAGGAGGATGCTCCCACGGCCCTCGCCACACTCTGCAGGCTGCCTTCCTCTTGCCAGTCGGATTTCCAGCCTGCCTCCTTGCTCATTGATAACGTCTGTCTCTTCTTTATCACTAGGTGATGGTAATGCCCGAAGGAGCAGAAACGGTGTCCAGGCCCAGCCCTGACTACCCCATGTTACCCACAATTCCACTCTCTGCCTTCTCTGACCCCAAGAAGACCAAACCGCCCCACGGCTCCAAGGTTAGTGAGCTGGCAGGCCCAGTCATGTGGGAGCACTGGGGCCCCGCGGTGGGGCCTGGGCTCAGGGCGCCCCCTCTGCAGAGCTGGGCCTTCTGTTCCTGGACCCGCTCCCTTGGCATCTTCCTCTTGGAGCTCTGGCCTCCCCCTCGCTGCTCTCTGCCACTTAATCAGGAGAGTCGCCCCTCCTGGAGTGCGTGGAACAGCCAAGTAATCGTGAGCTCTTCGCTCTCTTCCTCTTGAGGCCAGAGGGCCTGCCCCGTCCACCCCCTCGCACTGAGTCAGTGGGTCTCAGGACTGCTCAGACAGAGCCCTGAGTGCCTCGCGTGCCCCGGGGCCGTGGACAGAGTGTGTCCACTGCAGGAGCGACCGCCTACCTCCCAGGCTCCTGAGCGTGGCCAGGACGCCCCGTCTGCCAGGGCTGGCTGCTCCCGCCCTCGGCTGCTCCAGGCTTCGCTTCTTCCTGTGGCAGTGGCTTGCGGCAGAGAAAGCTGACTTGGGGGAAGGGCCAGGTGCCCTGCCGTGGGCGACCGAGCCAATGTCCCCCAAGAAGAAATGCTTTATCGTCTTCTCTCAGCCCTGTTGGGCAGGTGGCACTCTGCCTTCCTGAGACCTCTCTCTCTAGACTGCCGGAGTGGCTGCCAGAGCCCTTCGGATGGTGTCACGATGCACTTATAAACCTGTGAACGTGCGTCCCGTTCTCCTGCAGCCGCCTCCACCCTCCGTGTCCCAGAGGCCGAGCTCCTGCTGGCCCTCAGGGCGGCTGCTTCTTATCGTGTCACTGACCCCACGAGTTCATCCGCTTCTCATCTTTGCGTTTTTCTTGCTTCACTCACCTGTTACATGTCGTGGGCCTGGGGTACCCCAGGTGGGGCGGGTCGAGCTCAGGCTCTCTGACAGCTGTCCTCAGCAGCTGCACTGGAGGAGAGCCGTGTCACCCAGGCAGGGTCTTCCTGGCACTTGCCACAGGCCAGTAGGTCTCTGAAACCCTCAGGCTCATCTGACTGAGCCCTCGAGACGCAGGAGGCCAGTCTTAAGTACGGAGTGCAGCTCTGGGGGTCTCCCCCTCGCCGGCCTCCCGGGCCTGTCTTGCCCTGAACTTGTGGAGATTAAATGGAAGAAAAATTCTTGCTAGAGATCTCGGCAGCTTCTCTCTCAGCCACCCACCGTTTTTTGGAAGTCTGCAAAAGAGGAAGAGGAGGAATTGCTGTTTCTTCTGTACGTGTCACTTATAAGTCACCTAAACTCTGCAAAGAACCGCCCCCCAGAGGGTGAGGATGCTCCGGTGGCCGACAAAGCTGTGTCTGCTGGGGCTGCTCGTGGCGTCGCACACTGGAGTGTCTTTGAGACCCCTGGAGCCCCTGAGCCAGACAGGCGTATCTGCCAGGCTCAGGCGGCCTGTAGGCAGGGTCCTCCGTCTCCGCCATCTCCACGCCATCCCTGTCCAGGACCTTTCTCCAGCCTCCTGGGCGGTGTGACTGAGGAGGCGCCTGCATAGCTTTCTCAGGCAGCAGAAGCACGTTCCTCTCTGCTGATGGCTCTCCAAGACGCCCCCTTGCCTGTTGTCGCAGTCTTGGTGTCTGAGTCACAGCCTCACTCTTGTCTCCTTGGAAGGCGTGGCCTGTGCACCAGCCTGTTCTCCCAGCTGAGGACCTTCATTTGGGCACTGGCTGTTCCCCCCAAATTGGTTCTCTGCTGCCGGGCCACGTGCTCCAGGCAGAGGGGGCCGGGAGGGTAGGGATGGGTCCTTGCATGGCCTCACCCATCGGATCCCCCAGCTCTGGGACCCCGGGAAAGTGTGGCTGTTGCAGCCCTGGCTGGATCGGTGTCTGGTGGTCCGCTCCCCACCTCATAGCCCCCTGGAGGGTAGCATGGCACGCAGGAATTGGAGCCTCCTGGGAGAGGAGCGGGACCCCCAGAAGGCTCACACTGTGAGGATGGTTGTTCCCTTTGGTTCCCGCCCAGTGGCACCCCTGGCCTCGCGCACCTGTGGTTTCAGGGCGCCCTGCTTCTGCCTGTGCCATGTCAGCAAGTTAGCCTGGTTGACCTTTCTCTAATACTTGATTTTTAGCTGTTTTCATTGACGGCTTTGAGTATGTGAGTGCGATGGGTTCTCAGCCCTAGGAGCGTCCACCTGATGCTCAGAACTTAGTGTGTGGTTCACAGAGCCCGTGGTCCCGGGCGCTTGTGCAGACCCGGTGAAGAGCTGCTGCGCCGAAGGCTCCCAGCGGTCGAGCGGGCTCCGGGCAGCTGCGGAGGCTCGGCTGACCTGGGGCTGGGGGCCGCGGCGGGAACCACATTGCCTGTCATGTGCTCTCATCCCACCTCTTCCTGGGACCAGCTCCCGCAGCCGAGGGGGCTGCGTGGACGCTGCAAGGAGAGGCTGGAGGTGCACGTGGGGTCTTTCTTGCCTCCTTCTTTGGAGGAGCAGCTTGCTGGGGAGCCGAGACCCCAGGGACTGGCCCCATTTCACATGCCAGCCCCAAGGGGGTCGCCCCTTTAGACAGGCTGCCCGGGGCCGGTGGTGTGAGCACCCCTCTCCGCAGCCCTGGTGACTTAGGAGCTGGGGCACAGGGCCAGTGTCTCTTCACGGAGGCGGCAGGAGCCCACGGCCACGAGGGCCTGACCCCGAACCTCTAGCCCTGATGTGGGTCGTGGATTTGTAAGAAAGTGGTGACCTGAGTAGATCAGAGGCGGTCGAGGCTGTGCCATCTGTGCCTGTGGCTCTTTGCGGGGAGGGTTCCATCGCTGGCCCCTTGGGTGGGCTGCGAGAGCAGGCAGCAGAGGGCCCGCTGCTGGGCGTGAACCTGATTTCCCGCCCCGCCTCCCCCATACTCTCCAGCCCGCCTCCTTGGCACTCGGGGTGGGCTGGTAAAGTGTGGCTGCCTTTGGGGAGCCCCCCAGGTGGTGCAGGCCACCCTCTGGGTCTGCCTGCTGTTGGTGTCCCGGTAAGCCTTTAGCTGGAGAGCCTGTGGCCCTGACCATGCACCTGGCCAACCGAGTGGGGGCAGGGCCCGCAGCAGCCGACGGCAGCAGGCGCCCGCCCAGCGCTCCTGCGCGTGCATGGTGATGGTGGGGTGCTGACCGGGAGGAGGCCCAAACCAGCTGTCGGGGGGCTCCCGCCTGCAGGGCCCGCTAGCTGCATGGGGGGTGCAGCCCTCTTGGTCGAGCGCTCGCTGTCTGCCAGGCCCTGCACCAGCACCCGTGAGGTAGGTGGTCTTGCGCTTGCTCAGAGGCAGTGCAAGTACACAGGGTTGGAGTCACCTGGCCCAGCCTTCCTGGCAGCCTGGAGCAGGGCCGCTCTCTGCCTCTGTCCCCAGCAGGAGCTCCATGACCTGGCTGATCAGTGCCAGAGTCCGGGCTCCACCCTCAACCCTCCGAGTCTCTGAGGTGGAGACCCAGCAGTCATACACGTTCTAGAGAAGCTGCCTGGGTGGCTTCGGGTCCGAGAGGGCTAGCAGCTGGCTGTCCTGCACAGCGCCCGGGAACCCAGCGGCGCTCAGCAAATGCCATCTGCGGGGTCGGAGGACCCTGTGCCTGGGCACGCACATGGGACGGGCCCAAGCCTGGCTGTGCAGGCCAGGTGGGGGCCACTTGGGGAGGAAGGCCCCAGAGGCGACCGGGCAGGAGGCATGCAGGCTCTGTGGTGGGGACAGAAGGGGCGAGGCCCGCCCGCTGGCGCCCCCCAGCGCCCCCACGCCAGGCCGAGCCTCCGCTTTTCCCTGGGCCCAGTGGGCAGCTGTAAGATGTTGGAGTGGGAGCGGGTCGATGTGGCTTGCCTGTCTCGTATCTGACTCACCGTGTACTCTTCTTGAATCCCTCAGGGAATGTCAGTTCATTCAGAGGGGAATCTTAGCCTGCAGTCGCCTGGGACCTGCTGACACTTCCTAGTAGTTTAAAGGGACAGCTCCATTTAAAACTCTCACCTGCTGCCTTACTTTTTCGCTTTATGGAAGATTTTCTCTAGCTGAGTCTGAATCAGGTGGATTACGCTTTGTGGGGTCGGGGGAGGCGGAGCAGGGCGGCCCCGAGATGCCATTTGACCGTGTCTCTCCCCCACCCCCGCCCCCGCCCGGCATTTAGGACGCCAGCAGGGAGGGCAGCAAGGCCTGCAAGAGCCACAAGACGACCAAGGAGCACCGGGAGCGGCCGCGCAAGGACTCGGAGAGCAAGGGCCCCTCCAAGGAGCCGGAGCGCGAGCAGCCCAGGAGCACCAAGGACGCCGCGCGGAAGCTGGGCGAGGGCCGGCCGCCCAAGGAGGAGAAGGCCCCGCCGCCCAAGGCCGCGTTCAAGGAGCCCAAGATGGCACTAAAGGAGACCAAACTGGAGAGCATGTCCCCCAAGGGCGGGCCGCCCCCGCCGCCCCCCGCCAAGTCTTCCAGCAAGCGGCCGGCCGCCGCCGACTCGCCCAAGCCCAGCGCCAAAAAGCAGAAGAAGAGCAGCTCCAAGGGGTCGCGGAGCGCCCCCGGCACCTCGCCCCGCACCTCGTCTTCCTCCTTCTCGGACAGAAAGCCGGCCAAGGACAAGGGCAGCGCCAAAGGGGAGAAGGTCAAGGCCGAGAGCGAGCCCAGGGAGGTGAAGAAGCCCCCGGAGGTGGAGGAGTCCAACTCTGAGGACGAGGCCTCCTTCAAGACAGAGGTGAGGCGGCTCCTTCCTGCCCCGCACCCCGTCCTGTCCTCCCCCGGCTCCGAGCCGCCCCGCGTTAGACGAGGATACAGGGGTCCCCAGCCTCCACTTGCTCCTGTAGCTTTGGGCAAGCCTCTACAGCTCGCTAAGCCTCAGTTTCCCCTCCTGTCGGGGTGACAGGCCTGCCCCGTGAGAACCCTGTGGAGGCGGTCCCCGGGATGGATGGTTCTGGGAGAGCACGGTAGTGTGAGCCCTGGATCCAGAGCTCTCTTCCTTGGGCAGCCCCTGCATGGGCCATGCTTTAGGTGGCTTCTCTGGGGTCCGGTGGGCCATCGTGTCTCGCTGTTGCCCCTTCCCTGGCCAGCACAGGGCCAGTCTACCAGGGAGCTCACTCCCTCCACGGGTGGGGCATCCCCGTGTCTTCGTCCCACTCTCCCAGTCTGGAAGGTTAACGCGGGCCCCTGCGCCTCGCTCCCTCCCTTCCCACCTGGCTGGTGGGGTCCGAGCCTCCGCGCCCTCCCACCTGCCTGCTCCTGCATGCACAGCGCGGCTGCGGGGCTCTCATGTCGGCAGGCTCGTTTCCTGAGCGTGGGCTGGGGGCGCCCGGTCACCATGAGAGGCTCTGGGCTCCTCCTGCAGCACCTCTCCAGTGGCCCTCGGAGTTGCCGTCAGAGATGCTTGAGCCACAGAGGAGCAGTCGCCAGCTTGTGACTAGGAGGCCAGACCTCACTGGGGCCTCGGGTGGCGGTGTCAGCTCTGAGTGTTGTGTTTGGCGTTAGTGATCAGAGAACAGGTGTGTGGATGGATGGATGAGTGATTGATCTCCACACCTCTGTCACCTGCCCTGGCCCTCGGTGGCCATCTGCGGTTTCTAAATCCTCATTCTCTCAAAGGCGGAAGCCTTGCCTCCAGCACTGCCTCCTGGGCCTCCATGGTGACTTTGAGGGGGGTTCCCAGAGAGTGAGCCAGGGGTGGTTTGTGTCCACAGCGCTGATGTCATGAGCATGTGGCTTCCAGGGGACACCCCGTTGGAGGCAACAGTGCTGGCTGGGCCAGATGATTCGGCCCATGGGTAATAGTGTGTCCCACTGGCTTAGGGACACGTGGGACTGGCCAGTGCTTCTCGGTCAGGCACACTGTCTGACGGTGAGCCTGAAGGTGGCAGGACCCCCGCAGATCCAGGGCCATCTCAGTAGCCCACTCAGCTGCTGGAGGACTTTCTTTGGGTGCTTCGTAGCGCCCCGGTCTGTCGCCTCCATCTGCTCAGAACCCAGAGCTCTGGGCTGGTGCCCTTTCCTCCTGTCCACCCCAGGCGTGGCCTTCCTGCGCCCGAGGCTGGTCTCCCTGCGTTGGGAAGAGGTGGAGGCCTCTGCTGAGGCCCGCCCAAGCTGGTGCCTGGGTGCTGGCTTCCACGTTGGCGCCCTCCTGTGATCGTCCTGAGCACCTGGGACGCTCTGAGGCAGGCTTCCTCCCCCGGGCCCTGCTGTGCAGAGCGGGCCTGCTGAACAGTGGTGTCTGTGGCCTTGGGCGCTGCGACCAGAGACTGGAGTTGCTCAAGGAAGCCTGGGTGTCTCTTGGCTGAAGAGGCACGTCTAATGGCCTGAGACACTTCTGAACAACGAGCCGTAGCCACTCGAGGTCCCTCAGGATGCCTGGGGGCCTCTAGGCCTGCTGGACGGTGACTCACTGACATTCCCCAGCCCTGGGACCTTGGCAAGGCACAGACGTCTGTGGTGGAGGAGGCGAGACAGCCTTCTAGACCCGGGCCTCCCCAGCCTCTCTAGAGCGTCTCAGGCCGTCCCACCCTGGAGGCCACGTGGAGCACCACCACCGGAAAGCCCTGACCACCACGCCGAACCTGAGTCACTTCCTCCCCGGGGCCCACAGACGTGTCCAGAAACCTGGTTGTCCGAGTCCCCGGGCCAGCTCCCCAGCTCCTCAGCCTCCTTCTCTGTGGTCTCCTTGGCCGGGGGACAGTCCTGAACCACACAACCCATTCAGGCCCGGGCCCAGGAGTGCTGGGAGCACGGCAGGCCCCTCCGCCCTCCGTCTGGACGCTCTGGTGGCCGGAGCATGGGGACGCTTTGGCAGTGCGCACAGCGACCCGTCGTGGGCCTTCTGACTCACTGCCTCCAGGCTCTTTTGGCCGAAACGGTTTCTGGATCCTCTTCCCCTTCCTACCCCTCGGATTTGTGTGGAAGGAACAGCGACAGGTGCGTCTGAGGAGCTCTGACCTGCTCTGTCGAGGACAGTGCTCACGCTCACCTGCCCTGGTGCAGGGCCCGGGCTGGCGTGACTCCCACTTCCAGAGTCGCTGAGCCAAGCCCGCACACCGGGTGCCGCCTCCCCCGGGAGTGAGAGCATGCGTGGAGGTGCCAGGCGGGACAGGCTCCTTCCTGTGCCCCGGGAAGGACAGGCCTGGCCGGGGTCTCACCACTGGGTGCTGCCGTCACCCCTGCTGCCACTGTGTCAGCCGCAGACCCTGCCACTCATGCGCCTGCCCTGGAGTTCTGTCTGGGATCCGTGCCCCAGAGCGCAGAGGCTCGGTGGACGTCGACCTCCCTGGGCTGGCCGCTGGTGCGCACGCGTGCTTGGCAGAGGCCCGCAGGGCAGCTCCTTCATGGACCGGGAAACAGGCTTAGAAGCAGAGACCGCCTGGGCCAGGGGGTGAGAGAACTGGGGTCAGAACCCAGGACCCTGAGCCTGAAGAAGAACTCGGATCTGCACGCAGGAGGGGCCACGTGGCTCCAGGCCCAGCAGGCCCCTCGTTGGGGCTTGAGGGGTCACACTGGTCTGTGTGGCACCCCATAGTGGAGAGTGGTTGATGGCAACCTAGGCCAGGTTTTCTGGGGAGGTTTCCCATGGAACACCGTGTGCCCGTGTGAAGGGGCGAGTCGGGGTGTCGGCAGGGGCACGTTGGCAGGGCCTGGAGCAGGTTGGGTTAGGCCTGGGTAAGCCCTCGAGACAAGATCCCTGCAGCCCTTCAGGAGAGAGGGCCTCGGCCCCAGCAGCCTGGCCTCTCTCCGTGTCTGCTGAGTGAGGAGAGACCTGTGCCTTCCGGGGCCCCCTTTTTCCGCCTGGGGGCTGCCCTTTTTGCACAGGCCATCGGGAGGGGCTGTCCTGAGCCGCAGCGGGTCAGGGGCTCCCTTTCTGGGGTCTCTCTCCCGTGGCACAGGCCAGGACAGAGCAGATGCTGCTGAGTTCTTGCCCATCTCCTGGCCCTCCCTTCTCTAGATCAGGGAAGGTGCCCGCAGGGGCTGGTCCCCAACTGCTCAAGCTGCTCTGTTCTTCGTGACTGCACCCTGTCCGAGGACAGGCCTGGCGGCTCTGAGGTGGCTTCCAGGTGGCCGGGGCTCTGTGGCCGGCACAGATGGGCTGCTGTGTGCACCCCTGGAATAGCCTGTTGGCAGAAACCAAGGGCCTGGCGCAGACGCCGCCCCCCGTGTGGCTCAGCTCTCCCTGCGGCAGGGCGGAAGCCCTTCCCCATTCCGGTGTCTGAAGTGACGCATCTGTCCCCCAAGAGGCACAGCCCCCAGGGCACCTCACCCGCTTGTGTCCCACGGCCTCGTGTCCTAGTCTTAACTCTTACTGCCCCCTGGTGGCTGAGTTGGGGTGGCACCTGCAGAAAGGAGGATGTGACTGACTGGGTACAGTGGGGCCAGGCTCCAGTCCAGTGTGTCCTCAACTGCTTGTCACGTGCACGCCTATTTGTTGTCCCCTTGGGCACCTGGGCTGACAGCATCTCTGTGTCCTCACCTGGCCTCGGGACAGGCAGCGAGGAAACGGGCAGGAGGAGAAGCGGGTCTCTGCACCCACCTCTCCTGTGCAGACCTTTCAGCTGTTCCCTGCGGTGCACAGCCCACCCTGCCAGCTGGGGCTTCCGCCGGGGGGCAGCAGACCCATGAGCCAAGGGGCAGCCACGATGTGCCGCCCCTCCCCTGTGTCCAGAGCTCGCCCGTGCTCTGTCCTCCTGCCCAGCAAACGGGAGACCAGAGACATGCTCTGAGGCTTTTCCGGAGCTGCTGGACATTTATTTTTCTGAGGAAGATGGGCCCTGAGCTAATGTGTTACCAGTCTTCCTCTTTTTGCTTGAGGAAGATTTATCCTGAGCTAGTGTTCCTCCATTTCGTATGTGAGCCGCCACAGCATGGCCGCCAACAAGTGGTGTAGGTCCGCGCCCGGGAACCAGACCTGGGCCACCGAAGCCGAGCGCGCCGAACTTAACCACCAGGCCACGGGCCAGCCCCTGGAACGACGTGAAATTTAAAGCCCCTCCCTGCGAACGAGAGGGCATCGGTTGCGTTTCAATGCAGACCGTGGTGTCCTGGGGCTGCAGGAGGAGGCAGGCGTGGGCTGCCTGGACGGGAAGTCAGGGTCTCAGGAGCATCCAGGCTGCCCTGTGGGCCTCCGGCCAGGCTCCTTGGGGTCTGGCGCCCTTGGGACCTTTCCAATGTGGGTCTGGGGAGACCCGGCTGGGTGCCCCGCCCCTCCTCTTGGGACTGAAAGGTTCTTCTTGTCTTCTCTCCCGTTGCCCCGCCCCCCCCCCCCCCCCCCGCTGCGGGGTGAAGTCCGCCCAGTCGAGCCCGTCCAACTCCAGCTCCAGCTCTGACTCCAGTTCGGACTCGGACTTCGAGCCGTCTCAGAACCACAGTCAAGGTGCGTGACGAAGGGAGATGGGGAGTGTCCTCGTGGGAAGGCTTACTGCTGCCCCCCAAGCCCCCCGGAGGCCACGGGGGTGCTGGGCTTGTTAGTGACTCAGAGGGCCTCCCAAGTGATTTCCCAAACTCATTGGCTGGTGGGGGGCTCGCTGCATGCCAGAATCTCAGCACACGCCGAGTCTGTGAGCTGCGGCGCTGCCAGAGAACTCACAGCCTAGCCCAGGGTAGGAGACCGTGGGGGAGGGGGAGGATCCAGAGAGCCTGGAGCTGTCGGGGAGGGGGTGATGGGGAGAGCCTAGAGCCGTGGGGAGGGGGTGATGGGGAGGGCCTGGAGCCGTGGGGAGGGGGTGATGGGGAGGGCCTGGAGCCGTGGGGAGGGGGTGATGGGGAGGGCCTAGAGCCGTGGGGAGGGGGTGATGGGGAGGGCCTAGAGCAATGGGGGAGGGCCTAGATAGATGGGGGAGGGGGTATGGAGGGGGGCCTAGAGCTATGGGGAAGGGGGTAATGGGGGAGGGCCTGGAGCAATGAGGGAGGGGGCACCGGGGGCAGCTTCTGCTGAGGCGGAACTTGCCCTGGGCATTTCTTCAGTTTACGGCTGCTTTCCCACACTGAGCCCCAGAGACACATGTCGGTAGGTCTGTGGAGGCTCAGGGAGTCTGTGTTAAAAAGCAAAATGGAAGCAGATCACTTGACTGTCATCCAGGTGTGAGAAGTGCTGCTCCTTCTGGTGATCTTTGGTGTCTCTGGTGTCCGTCCCTGGGCCCTCAGATATGCCCCGTGCGTGTGGCAGGACCCTGGAGCTGTGCTGATGCGGTGTTGGCACTGGGGGTCAGTGGAGAAGGTCCCTTTCTGATTTGGCCCTACCCATGGCAGACACCCTCCTCCCCAGCTCCTCCAGAAGGAGGCTCATCTGGCCACCACAGTGTCATTTCCCCTGCCCGGCCCCCACTCACCCCTCCGCACTGCGTCCTAGCACAGCCGGGTGGGGCGGGAAACGCTCTGCTCCTGCTGTGTGTGTGGCTGGCCCTCGGGTCAAGGCCCCAGCAGTCTGCCTTTCTACCTTTTCCCTGCGGGGGAAGGGCATCAGGCCCACCTGGCTGCGCCAGAGCTGGGAGGACCTTTCTCAGGTCCACGGTGGGCTTGGGTGGGAGTGGGAGGCAGCCAGGCCCGCCCTCACAGGGGAAGCATTTCTGCTGGCACACTGGACTGCGAGTCTCCCCCCACAGCCTGGAATCCTCTTTTGAGGGTTGGGGAGCGCTGGGGGAGGGGATCGTATTGGGGGGGGTCTGGCCTGCAATTCAGCTGCGCAGCCGCCAAGGGGGCTGGGGTGCTTGAAGCCCACACTCTCTCCAAGGGTTCTTATCTACGGGGAAGGGAGGGGGAACCTGCCGAAGCAGGATCACATGACCAAGGTAATTGAGGGCTTTGTGTCCCTCTGTTGCCTTGGTAACAGGAATATAAACCAAGATGCCGTCTGTAGGGGACTGGAACCGTGTGCCTCCGGAGAAAGGGGAGGACGGGGGGCCAGGGGCAGCGGAGGGGGTTGCTGAGGGGCTAGGCAGGCCTGAGTAGGGGCGCAGACTGGTCGGGGGATTCTGTGGCCCCGGCTCCGGCCTCCTCACCCTCGCCGGCCAGGGCTGGCTCGTGCTGGCTCTGGGCAGAGGCTCTGATCTCCGCACCCACAGCAGAGGGGGCTGCTCCTCTGGCTTTGGCGATGGAGGGGGCCTGTGGTCTTGCCGGGGCCCAGGGGCCAGAGGCCTGCGAACAGGGCCAGGAGGGAGGGGGGCGTGGGGGGAGTCAGAGGGTCCTAAGAAAGGGGGCCGCCACGGGGGCAGTTGTTGGAGATGGCCGGCAGGCCCCACCTGGCCAGAGGGACCTCCGAGGTGGGTCTGCGTGGCTGTGTTTCAGGGGTTACGGTGTCGAGCAGCTCCGTGTGGCCCTGGGGGTGGAGGGGGCCCTGTGAGACTCAGACAGATCTGTAACCCCCCCCGACCCCCCCGCAGGGCCCCTGCGCTCCATGGTGGAGGACCTGCAGTCCGAGGAGTCCGACGAGGACGACTCTTCGTCAGGCGAGGAGGCTGCCGGCAAGACGAACGCAGGACGGGACTCCAGGTGCCGGGCCGGGCCGAGCGGGCGTGGGGGCGAGCCGGGGCCGCACACGAGTGTCCCTGGCGGATGGCGCTGCGCATGGGCGTGAAGGGGGCCTGGGGACCGTGCGTTCTCTCCTTTTCGGTGAAGCCGAGGGGCCTCAGGTGGCATCCGTCCTCCTGTTGCTGGAAGGGGCGGGGAGAGAAGCCCGGTCACTGTCAGCGAAGGGGCGAGGCAGTGCCCCGCAGCCTGGGGGCCCGTCCTGGTCCGAGGCGTGTGGCAGGGGGCCTGGTTCCTCTGCTCTTGGACCAGGGGACCTTTTCCCCCTTCCCCACATTTGTGGCATGGGACGAGGACAGACTCTGAGAGCTGTCTAGTGACCCGCAGACACCCCAGCCTGGGGAGCAGCCATGGCCACCCCTGGCCTGGGGAAGGCAGAGCGTGGCCTTGCCCCAGGGTGGAGTGAACCGACGTGCCTCCTTCGGACACCTCCAGGTCCCCAGCCCCTCAGAGTGGGCCCACTTCAGGGACAGCTGTGCTGTCACCCTCCAGCCCGGAGCAGGTACTGGCCTGGGCCCTGGACCCTGCGGTGTGGGCAGACACGGGGTCCGCAGCCCTGTCGGGATGCAGCCCCCTCCTCTTGCTGAGGCCAGGGCCTCTGGGCTCAGTGACTCCCCTCTAAGGCGGCCGGTCATGGGTGCCAGGGGCTGGGGGCCTCAGGGGCTCACGGGCGCTCTGTGTTAGTGTGGCCCATGAAACCCAGCACTCTGGCATGGGGAGAGTCCCTCGCGAGCTTCCCTCCGCACACGCCAGCTCTCTCTGGGGCCGAGGGTGGGGACAGCGACCTCGCTGTGGAGGGAGCAGGGGGAGTGCCCGGGACAGGATGGCGCTCCCCGCCCTGTTCGGTGCTGGCCACGTTCAGGGTGGACTCCTGCTTAGACACCAGGAGTAGGCAGCCGAGAGGATTGGCAGACGTGCTCCCATCTTCTGCCCCGGGTGGGCCTCCTGGGCACTGCGTCCATCGTCAGGGAAGGGGCCACACAGGCCTCGATGTTGGTGCTGCGGCTGTTCTGTGAGCTGCAGAGCCCCACCTCGTCCTGGGCTGCCACCTGGGGAGGCCCAGAGTCTGCCATGGCCCCACTGCCCCCACTGCCACCTGCTGGCCCCGGGGAAGAGGGGGAATGAGGGGTGCGCAGGGCGGTGAGCCACGCCTGGGCCCCGCTGACGCAGTCACATCACCTGGGCAACGAGGGGACAGACGCCTGCCTTTGCCCAGAGTGATCCGGGGCCGGGCGGTCGGGGAGAGAGCCTCGTGCTCGTTGTGGAAGAAGGTTTCCAGGGGGCCGGACACCCTTGACCTTGGGGGAGAAGACAGGAGCCCTGAGGGCGGGGGCCCTGGCCCTGTGTTCACAGCGAGGCCTGTTTCTGGCAAAAGGGGAGAGGCGGCGAGGCGGGGTCCGCCCTCTTGGTGTGTCGAGAAGTGGCATCGTCAGGGCTCCCCTCTCTGGATCAAGCCCCCAGTGTCCCCGAGGGACTGGGGATCCCAGACGGAGACTCTCCCCGAGTGTGTCGTGTGTGGCCAGCCCCCAGGGGAGCAGGGGGAAGGCAGGGCCGTTCCAGCTTTGGGGGGGCTGTAGGGGGTTTTGCTCCCTCTCCCACGCCCCCTTGCTGTGCCGCGGAAGCTTCTGGAAGAAGCTGAAAGAAACAAGCCAACATGTTTTGTGCAGTCTGGGATGGTGTGAGAAGTGGGACTGCAAGACAGAGGGACTTTGGGCGAGGGTGATCGCGCCCTCCCCTCCCGCGACAGCAGTGGCCTTTGTTATTGCGTGAGAGCCCATCCTCGCGTAGTTTTCTCAGTGATCTCATTTGACAGCTGAGGAAACGGAGGCAGAGGTGGAGGACCTGTCCGGTGCCCTGCCCAGGGAGGTTTGACCCCGAGCCGCCACAGACACACCAGTCAGGGCCCCCAGGTGGGGACCAGCCCCCGAGGGCGCTGATGCTCCTGGCTGCGGCCAGCTGGCGTGGGAACTGCCCTTCCACTCAGTGACCTGCGGGCAGAAGCGCATTAAGGGAGCGAGACCCAGCAGCCCTCGTCTGACTTGCAGGGGCATCACGCCCTGCTGCTGTGGCCCCGAGAGACCCTCCCAGGGTGACAGGAGCCCACAGGCCCCCGCACAGCCCTTCTGAGGATGTACATGCTGCTCTTCGGGCTGTTTATCCCCAAGGGTGGCCAGACATGTCCTTGTTTCTTTAAGTCGCCAGGAGAGCCCGGCGAGTTGCTCTCCCTGGGGGAGCGTGGGACCCAGGGTGTCGGGCACCCGCTTGTCCCCCGGGCTAGGGCCAGGTGTCATGGGGTCTGTTCCAGAGCACTGTTTGCTGGCTAGGCCCCCGGGTGGCAGATGCCTGATGGGCGCCCTGTCCGCCTCCAGGTTAAGCTTCAGTGACAGCGAGAGCGACAACAGTGCCGACTCCTGCCTGCCCAGCCGCGAGCCACCTCCCCCAAAGAAACCACCCCCACCCAACAGCAAGGTGAGCCCGGGGCTGCTCAGGAGCTCGCCGGAGGAGGAGGAGGGCTCTCCGGTGGTCAGGTCCCTGCCCTCCACGTCCTGGAGGTGGGCTGAGGGGTCTCCGAGGGTCTGAGGGTCGTGGGTGCAGAGGGAGGGTGAGTGGGCCCGGGGCCACAGGCTGGCTCCGAGCCATCAGCAGCTGCTCTGGGGGGTCGGAGGGCCTCTGGTGGGCTGGGGGAGAGCGTGTGGGCAAGAGCTCAGAGCAGCCCCCGGTTCGCCTTGCAGGCGTCTGGGCGGAGGAGCCCGGAGTCCGGCAGCAAGCCTGAGAAGATCCTCAAGAGGGGCACCTACGACAAGGTGGCGGGGCTTGGGCAGGGCAGGCAGCGGGAGGGAACCCCGGGGCCCCCAGAACTGCTTGGAGCAGCCACCAGGCCCATCAAGGCCAGGCGTGCTGTGGTGCTGGCCCTGGGACTCAGGCCCCCCTCGTCCTGGGGCCCTGAGCTGAGGTGGGCGCCATAGGGCTGGGCAGTCGGGCCAAGGCCGTCTGCCACCCGCTGAGCCCGCGTCTGCCCGCAGGCCTACACGGACGAGCTGGTGGAGCTGCACCGGCGACTCATGGCGCTGCGCGAGCGCAACGTGCTGCAGCAGGTATGTGGCGGAGCCCTCGCCGTCCTGGCTGGGACACGGGTGCTCTCAGACGAGTCCCCTGGGGTGGGGCTACCTCAGCCCGCCTCCTGTCCCCTGAAGCCACCCTGCCACCACCTTCCAGATCGTGAACCTGATCGAGGAGACCGGCCACTTCAACGTCACCAACACCACCTTCGACTTTGACCTCTTCTCCCTGGACGAGACCACCGTGCGCAAGCTGCAGAGTTACCTGGAGGCGGTGGCCACATGACCCTGGGCCGGGTGCTGGGCCCCCGTCACCGGGGTTCTGGGAGGCCACGTCCGGGCCCCGCCTGCCTTCCTCTCTCTCGACTCGCCCGCCCGCAGCACTGCCTTAGCGACCGCCCTGTCCTCGGCCCACACGGCCAGCTGCACTTTCCTCGACGGCTCCCGGCCGGCCCTCCCCACCACCTGGTCGGGAGCCCTAGGGCTGAGGGGGCCCGGGCCGGCACTGCTGCTCCCCGACACTCAGGGGCCGTCACCTGGGCCCCCCTTGGAAAGCGGCTTATGTTGAAGGCAGCGCCAGGCCTCCCTCCCAAAGGGGAAGCCACGTGCCCGGTGGCGGGGGCCTCACCCGGCCTCAGGATCCTGCTCCGTGGCGGGCATGTGGCACAGTTCCACTGCCCAGGCCTCTCTGAGCAGCCGGGGTGCCACCTGCAGCCTCCCCAGATGGTTTGGAACACACCCCCCGCTGCCCCAGGACACAGAGGGCTCCGGCTGTGTGTGTGCGGCCACGGGGCCAGGCTGGGCCTCGGCTCGTCCCCCGTGGAAGCCGGACGCGGGCCCTCTGCCGGCTCTCACTGTGCTGGGACTCCGTGCTGTATAGTTGTCTCTCTATTATATATATATGTATGCACTGTAGGTACAGAGCGGGGTCCGGGGTGCGTTTCCGTGGCAGCAGTGCACGTGGGGGGTGGGGGGTGCGTAAGGCGGGACTTGTAGGTTAAGATGTCTCCTCTGGTGGTGTCGTCGGGCTGGAGGCCGAGCCGGGGCGCCAGCTGGCCCTCCGCGGGCTCGGGAGGAAGCCTCCCTCTGTGGTTCCAGGGGCGCCTCGTCCTCCGGTGAACACTACGTGGGGGCAGCAGGTCCTTGGCGCCGAGGGGCTCCGAGCTCCCGGGCTCCAGCCAGGCGCAGGCTGCGGCTCGCGTCCGCCCCGCGGTTCGGCCTCCTCCTCCCATAGGATCCTCTTCCTCCTTCCTGTTAATCGAGTCTTCGAACTTTGAACAAAATGAGCTTTTGCCAAATAAGGTGGGATCGTTGGTGGCGCTTTTTGAGGAGCGTCAGGACTGGGAGCCAGCTCGGGCGGCTGGCTGGGTCCTCCCGGGCCGCCCGCCCCTCCCCGCCCTGCAGTTCACGCCGGTCCAGAGCCCGGAGACTCGACTCCTCGCACGCCTGAAATTCTCCAAGGGCCAGGCCGTTCCTCCTTCCAGGGCCCTCCTTCCAGGGCCCGAGTGCCCTCCCAGAGTCAGCCCCCTTGGTGGGGCCCCTGGGGGCCTGTTGCTCGGGGTCTGTTCCCCCAGTCCTCCACTCAAGGCTCCTCCAGTCGCCCCCACTTTTGCCCAAACAGGATGTGGGGAGAAGGACTGGGGTCCGGAGGTGGGCTCGCCTTCTCTCCAGTCCCGTCAGCCCCTGCGCCCCCAGCTCCTGTGTTCTGACGTGGGGAGCGCCACGCTTCCCTCCCTGTGGTCCTTGGCTCTCGTGTCCCTGCTCCGATCTGTCTGTCAGGCGGACCCTGAACGCTCCGGGGGGAGGCCTGCCTCCCAGGCTCCCCCGCACTCCAGCCTGCCTGGCGAGCTCCCCAGAACTCGGGGAGGCCTCAGAGCTCTCAGGAGGCCGCCGGCACTCCTCGCCGTCTGCTCTCATTCTCTCCCAGCCCCACTGCCTTGAGGTATTAGGAAGAGGGCAGGCCTGTGTGGCAGGCTCCGTGCTGTCACTGTCCCCTTCCCCAGGCAGGCCAACAATACTCCAAAGTGGGCCCCCCTTCTTCTCTGGAAACTCTCTACGACATTGGACGGAAGGAACGGGCCTGCGGTGGGCTGCTCGGAAGGCAGCAGCTCCCTGGCACTCTGTGCTCCCAAGGGCGCTGGCCTTTTTCCTTCACAAGGATCTCCTGCGGAGGGCTGCGGTGACCCGGGCAGCCCCTGCTCCGGGGCCGGGCTCTCCCGTCTGGCCCTTCCTGCTGTCTCCAGGGCCTTCGGAAGCACCAACCCATTTCTCAGTTACCTCCTCCGGCCGGAAGGCCCCAGCGCTGTCCTCCCTCGTAGCTGCCCTGGGCCCCCCACTGGCCCGTGACCACCTGATGGACGTGCCGGGCAGCCAGGGCCCCGCTCGCAGCCGCCCCGGCTGCTCCTCCACGCCCCCCGGCTGCCCGGCAGCTGGGCCCCCGAGGGCTCTGCGGGCGCTTCCATAGGAAGGGGCCGCACTCCGTGAGTCGGCGCTTAGTGTTCAGCCCCCTGCCCCAGTGCACGTCCCTGTGTTCTGCTGTCTTTGAGCAAAGTGTAAACCGACGCCCGAAAGAGGAGGTATCGAATACCTTCCTCGCCCACAGGGGTTTTTACGAAGAATGTGTCTCACTAGGAACCAGGACACTCATCGGCCCGAGACCAACTCCTGGATAAAAGGAATAAGGAGAATCGTGTTTGTAATAAGTTACAGGATTGTTTCTGTCCTGGATTTTAAACTTTTTGTTAAATTGTGAAATTATGGAGGAGTTTTATAGAAAAAAAAAGTGAAATAAAGTCAGATGGGAAAGCAGACTTCCGCATAGAGCCTGGTGTGTCCGCTCGGTTCCTCCTGTTGTGGAGTTGGTGGAGGGAGCACCAAGAGCCGTGGGGCCCCTTGTCCCCTCTCCCTGTCCCAGATCAGTGACCGGGAAGAGAAGAAACTGCTGGGACCGAGCCTGGTGGGCAGCAGGAGTGAGGATGGGGAGTGTGAGCATGGTTGGCGTCCTGGAAGAGTAGAGATGGTGTCACCAGAAATCCGAGAGGGCGAGATGGTGGAGAATTCAGCTTCATGTCCCGCTTCTCATGGTACCTTCTTTCCTTGGAAGTGGCAGCAAGGTCTGGGTTGAAAAGCAAACTTGACTGCACAGGATGGGCGAGTGGGAGGATGGATGGATGGATGGACGGACAGATGGACGGGTGAGTGAATGGGTGGGTGAGTAATGTGGGGTAGGAGGATGGGAGGATGGAGGGATGGGTGGGTGAGAGGATGGATAGATGGAGGGATGGATGGATAGGTGGATTGATGGGTGGATGGATGGATGGGTGGGTGGATGGATGGATGGGTGAGTGGGTAAGTGGGAAGATGGATGGGTGAGCAGGAGATAGATGGGTGGGTAGGTGGATGATAGACAGATGGATAGGAAAATGTGGGAAAAGATACTATTTGACGGGAGCCAGGCTTCCCATCTGCCGGTTTCCCCTGGTGGGTTTTGCTCTGGACTCTGGCAGAGCTGAGTGAACCTCAAGGAGACAAAGCTCTCGCGGGCCCCATTTAAAGCAGCTCTGTCCACTCTGTGGGCTCTGGTCCCACTGGAGGAGAGGAGTCCCATTCCTGAGTGGTCAGAGTTGCAGGTCACTACCCTCTGGCTGCCTGACCTACGAGTGCTGCACCTAATTAAGATCCCTTGGTCACTCGGCAGCTGGGAGACGAGTGGCCATGCCAGGGTGCTCAGGGGTGGTTCCTCTCCATTCTGGTCGTAGCCACAAATTCCACTTCCAGCATCAGGGTTGTGGCCCCCCTTGCCCATGGCTTTCCTACCAGAGAGAGAGTCTCGCGTCTTTTGGGACAGTCTCCGGAATGAGCTCCTAAAGTAGGGACACAGTGAAAGAGGGTCTAGAGTGGCTCCCACAGTTCCCGGAGCCCCACGATGCAGTGGAAGGACTACTTGCCATGTTAAAAATACAACGGGGCTCAGTCCAGGCCAGGCGCTGTGCTAACAATGACCTCACAGACTCCACAACCAATCGGTGGATGAGGTTGGCTCTGCTGTCAGGATCCGCATCGACAGATGAAGGAACGGCATTGAAGAGCTGACCTGCCTAAAACACTACAGCCAGTAGGCGCATTTCCGAGACTCGAGCCCGGGTATGTGTTGTTGTTGCTTGTGACAGTCAGAATTTATTTGCATCTGCCCACATAATTACCCCTTGTAATTACTCCTCCTTTCTTTCCATGGTTCCTCCTGGGATCATTGTCCTGAAGCCTGAAGGATTCTCATTAGTAGTTCATTTAGTGCAGTGATGAATTCGCTCCACTTCTGCTCATCCAGAAACACCTTCATTTCATCTTTATCTTTTTTTTTTTTTAAGATTGGCACCTGAGCTAACATCTATTGCCAATCTTTTGGGTTTTTTTCCTTCTTCTCCCCAAAGCCCCTCCAGTACATAGCTGTATATTATAGTTGTGGTCATCTTTATCTTGTAAGGATATTTTCGCTAGGCATAGAATTCTGGATTGGCAGGAATTTCCTTCCAGCACTTTCCAAGCTCAGTCCATCATCTTCCGGCTGCCATTGTTTCCACTGAGCAGTCAACCGTTAAGTTTCGTTGCTGCCCCTTTCAGGATAATGTCTCTTTCATCTCCTTTTCTTTTTGCCTTTTAGTCGGAAACAGCTTCATACGTTTTGGCGATTTGTTTCTTTTATCAGTGGCATCTCTGTCCCTTTTAAATGTTTCTTCAAACCTTAAATTTATATTTTGCTGACGCATGCACAAGTCCAAGGTTCCAGTCTCTGTGTCTGAACAAGGCATAGCTCCTCTCACAAATGGTGGCAAACATATACGCTTTTTCCTTAATATATTTTAGAGTTCGTTCCAAGTTAGTCTGCTGTGTAAATGCACCATAACTTACATCACTAGTCTTACTGGTGGGCACTTCACCGCTTTCCCTCATTCACTTCCGTGACACCACAACTACGTGCGTGCAGGTGTGTGGCTGGATCTATAAGCAATGGCTTTGGCAATGGACTTGCCTGTTTTTTCTATTGGGTTTCCTGGTGTTTGCATTTTCAGGAGCTTGTTCTGGAATATGAAATGTAACCTTTGCAATCTATTGTATTTCCCCGGTTTGTATTTCGGTTTCGTTTATGGCGTTTCCCCTCATGCTGAAGTCTTATATTTTTACGTATTAAGCTTTTTTGGGTTTTTTTCAACAGCTTTTGGGTTCTTATTCCTTGTCTAGGATGATCAAAAAAAAAAAAAAAACAGTTCTCTGATGGTTTCTCCCAGGAAGTTAATATTTTTCCATTTTCTTCCCTCCCTCCCTTTTTTTCTTTCTCACCTTTCAATTTGTTCCATCTGGAATTTATTTTGCTGTGAGGTAGGGCCCCCATCTTATTTCTGTAATAGCTACACAAGGCAATCCACCCCCATTTATGGAATAATCTGTCTTTCCTCCACTTATTTGAAAGGCCGTCTTTGTTGCATTTACTCAGTTCCCATGTACGTTTGTGTCTGACCCTGCATGTCTGTAGATGCCCTATCTCTGGGCCTTCAATGACCACTGCTTTGTAATTTGCATACTATCTGGTGGGGTGGGTCCCCCAGCATCCTTCTTAAATTTCCCAGATATTCTTCCATGTTTGTTTTCCCATATGACCTAATCAGCTTAAGTTTTAGAACATTTTTCTTTATCTCGTTGTGCTGAAGTTTCACGTTAACATTCTGTTTTTAATTCCAATTTTTAAAAATGTATCCTGGCTGGCGTTTGGTGGGGTCCTGGAAAAGTCTCAGCCGTTATCTCTTCAGATGCCGCCTCTCCTCCTTCTGGACGTCCTACGACGTCGGTTGGAACCTCCGGGGTTCACGTTTCAGATCTCCAACCACCTCCCATTATGCGTGTGTTACACCTTCTGTAACGGTCCCACAGCTCTTGGATATTCTGTTCCTTTTTCTTTTTTCTTAAGTCTCTCTTTCAGTCTTTCTTCTCTTTGTTTTCCAGTTTGGAAGGATTCTATTGACATATCTTCAAGCCCCCCGATTATTTCCTCAGCCACCTCCAGTCCACTGAGGAGCCCACCGAAGGCGTCTTTGTTTCTGTGACGTGTTCTTGATCTGCAGCGTCTCCTTTTGATTCTTTCTTAGCGTTTCCACCTCCCTGTTTACCTTGCCCACCTGTCCTTGCGTGCCGTCCAGGAGGGCCCGCAGTGCATTCATCATAGTCCTTTTAGGTTCGCAGTCTGATGATTCCAAATCTCTGCCCCATCCGGCTCTGGTTCTGATGCTCACTGTTTCCTCAGACTGTTTTTCGCCTTTTCACACGTCTTGTCATTTTTTGTCGGAAGCTGCACGTGATATCCTGGGTAAAAGGAACTGAGGTAAACGGGCCTCTCTGGTGAGATTAGATGGTTCTCTGGCTCAGAGTGAGTCTGCATTCACAGTTTGCTGCAGCTGCAGGGGTCCTAAGCTAAGACTTCTTCAGGAGTCCTTGTTTTCATCTCCTGAGCTCTGCGACCTTCACAAGTGCTGCTCAGCTTTTTTTTTTTTTTTTTTCCACCTTTAGCTGAGAGGTAGGCTGGAGAGGGCTGGGGCTGAGTGCTTCCTTCCCCGGGTCAGTTAAGCTCTGAGAAACCCCACTTCAGTCAGGCTCCCGTAGAATAGTTTCCCTTGCGGGCAGGCCTTTGTCAAGGAGAACAGAACACTCGGGACGTCTTTCCCGAAAGTTACTCTCCCCGCGTCCTGCCAGAAGCTCCAGAGAGTCTGTCTCAGATCTTCACCGTGAGGACATGGTGGGGCTCCTGGAGGGAAAACTCACAACCGTGTGCACCCCACTCCCCCCACCCCCACAGGCTGGGTCTCCAGAGAGTCCAGAAATTAATCGATTGTCCCTCACAGCAGTGCTGGCTCCAGCGGGGGCTTCTGCTCCCAGTGAGCGTGAATCCTTCCCTCTCTGCACCCACCGCTCTCCCATTTTGGGGGTAGTGCTTTGCTCTGTGACCTCACTTCTCTGATGGGTCTAGGAAGAGCTGTCCATTTCCAGTTTTGCAGCATCTTTCTCGTGAGGATGGAAGTGATGACTTCCACGCCCTTGACCTGTCAGGCCGTCAACCACTCTATCCAACTCCCCGTGTTTACTTCTCAGGTGCAATTTCCTGGTGTTTCTCCAAGGAAATGGCTCTGTTTCCCTGGCTCTAAGTTCTTCTGTGTCCAGCCTCTCCTGAGAGAGCCGTGCTCTCTGTCTGAGCCACAGAGGCCCTGCTCTGAAGCGCGAGCACGTCTGCGAGCTAATTCTTCTCTTCTATGGGGGTTGGCTGCAGAGCGAGGTTTCATACGCACCCTTTGAACCACACGCCTCCCAGGCGGTTCTCATGAGCCTGATGTGTGAGCCCCTGGACCCCGGCCACGTCCTTACGTCAACGGGAGCTGGTGGCAGCCCTCCCCGCCCTCAGATGCACCTGTGGGCGATTGCGAACCGCCGGGAGACGCTCCTGGACCATCTCGAGACGATTCCAGCCTGTGCAGCAACCCCTCAGCCACTCAAAGAGTGTGCATATTTTTCAAAGTCACAGAAGCCTGAGAGCCTTCCCACATCAGTTTTTGACTCTTCTGGAGCCCTCGGTGCGAAACTGCTCGCCCACCTCAGCACTAAGGACGTTCCGGGCACGGGCAATGCTTCCCGGTGTGGGAGGCCGCGCTGGGCACTGTGGGGGGCTGAGCGGCACCCCCGGCCTGCCCCCACCAACAGCCAGCGGCACCCCTTCCCCCCGGGCGTGACAACCACAGATGTCTCTAGACACTGCCGAGCGTCTCTGGGG